CCTTGCACATAGTTTGTGCTCGATTAATGAATGCTTTTATTATTTTGAAGAGCTGGAAGAATCACACTTAAGAAAAGCCATCAATGCAGTTTGTTGTATTTTGTTTTTAGATGGAGTCTCACTCCGTTGCTCAGGCTGGAGTGCAGTGGCGTGAACTCACTACAATCTCCGCCTCCTGCGTTCAAGCAGTTCTCCTGCCTCAGCCTCCCAAGTAGCTAGCACTTACATAGGAGTGCACCACCACGCTTGGCTAATTTTTGCATTTTTAGTAGGGATGGGGTTTCATCATGTTGGCCAGGCTGGTCTCGAACTCGCGACCTCAGGTGATTCACCCACCTCGGCCTCCCAAAGTGCTGGGATTACAGGCGTGAGCCACCATGCCCAGCCTTGTGTATTGATCTGTAACCCACATAAACACATACACACATGCTCCATACATAGCCTCTCTCACATGTATTGTGAGAAAACAGCAGTGGTGATCACAATGTGCTACCAACTGTGTAAAAAAGGAGAGGGGGGCATTACGTTTGCATTCTGAGTCTGCATTTGCTCACATACATATACAGTATTGCTAGAAGTAGACAAAAAACAACAACGAGAAAACCCTGGTACCTTCGAGAAAGGGACCTCGGAGGCTGAGGATGAGGTGGGGGGAGATTTTTCACTGAATGCTTTTGTACATTTTGAATATTGAACTATGTGGAACAGTAATCTATTCAAAAAATAAACATGCTTGCTCATTTTCAAAGAGAGAGAAAAGCAAAAATAATCCCTGAGGAGCTCTAGGAAAATGCCTTTTTGGGAAGAATCCCATGGAGAATAGAGGCGTCATGAAATGTGCCTTGCTGTGTCTCGAGGTTCTCAGACATTAAATCACGTGAAATGAGGGTTCCGTTATCCCCCTACGATGCTTCTTGCTATGAAGTCCATGTGCTGCAAAGATGGACCTTTCTGGGGAAAGAAGGTGGGGATGGATTCACAGCCAGGGAGCACAGATCAGTAGGAAAGAAAAGGTTTGGGAGACCCTAAGATAGGTATAGAAGAAATTTCTAGTTATCATTTCAACCAGATAGGTGCTACAGAGCAGGGTTCAAAACCGGCAGATTTTGAGCCTTTTCTGTAACTTTCCCGTGTTTTCCCCCTTTAGTCTTGTCTTATCTCTTGTAATAACGGATATGAAAGTCTGGAAATGAAGAGGGTCTGCGAGCTTGTGTTCCGGGACCACAAGGAATGGTGGCCAGAAGGAGACCATCTTTCCTGAGCCCAGCTTGCAGGGAAGAGAATGCCGTAGTCTGGATGGATGGTGACAGCTACCAAGAGGAAAGGGGAGCGGGGGAGGCGCTGGGACCTGCCACAGTGAAAAAGGAGGGCTGTGAGGAGCCTGCCTGGACCTGTGGTCTGCCCGGGGACTCAGGACAAAGGGTTCCGTAAATGCAGTGACAGATAAGCATCGCTCGGTAATAGGATTAAATCTGAAACTGTTACAGGTGAGATGTGACTAGCCCATTCTTATATCGCAGAGACATAGGCCTTTTCTTCATTCAACAGGTATTATTTAATTTAATTAATTTATTGTTTTTGAAATGGAGTTTCACTCTTGTTGCCCAGGCCGGAGTGCAATGTCGCAGTCTTGCTCACTGTCACCTCCGCCTCCCAGGTTCAGGCGATTCTCCCACCTCATCGTCCCGAGTAGGTGGGATTCCAGGTGCACACTACCATGCCCGGCTAATGTTTGCATTTTTAGTAGCGATGGGTGTCACCATGTTGGCCAGGCTGGTCTCAGACTCCTGACCTCAGTGATCCGCCTGCCTTGGCCTCCCAAAGTGCTGGGATTACAGGCGTGAGCCACTGCAGCTGGCCATTCAACAGATATTATTTTATCTTCCTTGTTACTAATAAAGCACAGAGGGACCTTCCTGTTTATTTTCTTACCTTGTGCTGATCTTGAAACAACAATGAAAATGCTTCCGCTACAGGGATCTTAGCCCCGAAACTTCAAACCAGGGAAGATGATTTACTCCGGTCTCTTCCCCCTTTCCTCTTCGATGCTAACAACTTGCTACTTTGACCCCAGTTTTGCCCACACTGTCCCCAGAAAAATCAACAAACATGCTGCACCTACTATAGGCAGACAGACACCTGTAGATTCAACGAAGTGTAAGCTTCCAGCTTTGGCTGGGCACAGTGGGCCTGTAATCCCAGCACTTCGGGAGGCCAAGGCAGGAGGATTGCTTGAGCCTGGGAGTTCAGGACAAGCCTAGGGAACATAGGGAGACTGTACAAAAGCGTTTTAAAAAATTAGCCAGGCATGGTGGTGCACACCTGTAGTCCCAGCTACTCAGGAGGCTGAGGTGGGAGGATTGCTTGAGCCCAGGAGGTCAAGGCTGCAGTGAGCTGTGATTGTGCCACTGCACTGCAGCCTGGGAGACAGAGTGAAGCCCTGTCTCAAAAACAAAATACAGAATGCAGCTTTGCTTGCAGGGAGTTTGCAGTCTCATTGGGAGACAAAGAACTACACTTACAAGTGAATACTAATGCTTAAGAGCATACGTTCAACACGAAGCCAGAGGAGCTGGTAATAAAGTCTTCGCGACCCCACCTGCCAGAAGCTTTGCTGTGGATGGAAGCATTCGAGCTTCCTGCAGGGAGGCAGGCCTGGAAGGACAGATAAACTTACGGGGAGGACCAGAGTGTACACTTCAGGCTGGGGTGGGGCTTCCTTGTGGAACAAGAGGGAGCACCTTAGATGGAGGGAGGACCAGGGAGCCATCATCGGCGGAGGTTGTTGCTGAGTCATTGACAGTCTACAGTAGGATTTTCACAGACTTACAGAAACCCTGTGTGTTGCAAACATACTCGCCACAGTGTTAGATGTGACAAGGATGCTGATCTGACTCCTGCAGCTTGCCAGCTTAGAATGGAGTACCGGGGGTGATGGGGGGGCATTGTGCTTGGGAGAGGCCACGGTCTCTGTGCTCAGCCCAATCCTCTTAGGTCTGTCTTTGCACAGTTGGAACCAAGATAAGGGTGAACTTTATATAGCGCCTCACTCTCTCTCCCTGCAAGCTCAGCTCCGATTATTTCTTTCTTTTCTTCTCTGCATTCTCTTCCCTTTCCTGCTCACGGCTAGATGTCGAGGAGAAATCCCTTCCCACTGTGAGTTTCGGTTGTGATGTCAGCCTGTGACATTTGCCGTTTTAGAGAGATCGTGCGCATGCATTGATTAATGGAGAGTGTAAATTACCGGAACGGGCCGTGTGGGGTGGCTCACGCTGGTAATCCCAGCACTTTGAGAGGTGGGGCTGAGAGGATCAAGGAATTGAAGACCAACCTGGGCAACATAGGGAGACCCCATCTCTAAAATATATCTATTTAAAAGAATATTTAAAATTAAAATATGGAAATGATGCCATTATTCTCATCTAAAAATCCCGTCTCCAGCCCCATCTGTGACACTTTTTAGCGGTGTGAACTTAGATTGTCACTCAAATGGCCTGTTCCTCAGTTTCATTTATTTGCAAAATGAAACTTAATACCATCCTCTTTATTGCATGTGATCTTGAGGTTCAGATGAAATAGTTAGTGAGAGCACTTGGGACGCTAAAGAACGTATTATTTGTAGCTCAGGGTGACGATTGCATGGGGGCAGAGGAGAGGGGAGTGAAGCTGGGAAATCTCAATAAATCTCATCCAGCCCTATAATCTTGTAAAATTGTTTTATGGTGTTAAAGTCAGTTTAACTAGATATAGCTCCCTTGGTGTTTTAATAACTCTCGCTCTCGTGATTCCTTTTTGCTTTGTAGATGTCCCTAAGTTCCAGCTCTCCCCTAAAAGTTCCAGCTCATCTCGCCTGGCCTCCCCCTGAGTCAGTGGGACTCCCAGGCACTGCCACCGCAGCCGAAATTCTCATGCAGCATCTTCAGAGGCACCCTGGGGCCCAAGCATGACTCATCCAGGTTCCAGAGCCAAAGCACCCTGAACATGGAAGGACCTTTATTATAGAAACAACAAGATGCTTTGCACGGTGGAGAGCTGAATTGACTTGGCTCCTCTTGGAAAGTCTTTCCGCTTAAGTACTTTTTGTGGTAGTGAGTCCTGCAGTATTTCAGTAAAGAGGAATTCATGGGATAAATGCAGACAGATGTACGGATGTGGAAACATGATGATACATATCACGGGGTTGGTGATGGGACATATGATAGCGCCATTGGTGATACTGGGTGGGTGAGGCAGGTCCCAGAAGGATTCAGGCTCACTCCGAAGGCTGTCTGAGTAGGTGAATGGGGAGGCTGCTCCCCGTGGTTCTTCCTGGGAGCCTTCAAGAACACAAATGTATTTCCTTGCAGTTCTGGAAGCTGGGCGTCCAAGATCTGGCAGCTTTGGTTTCTTCTGAGGCCTCTCTTTGGGCTTGCAGATGCTGCCCTTTCCCTGCGTCCTCATGTGGTCATCCCTCTGTGTGTGTCTGTCTTCCTTTCTTCTTCTTCTCTTTTTTGAGACAGAGTTTCACTCTTGTTTCCCAGGCTGGAGTGCAATGGCACAATCTTGGCTCACGGCAACCTCTGCCTCCCGTGTTCAAGCGATTTTCCCACCTTAGCCTTGGAGTAGCTGGGATTACAGGTGCGCACCACCACGCCAGGCTAATTTTTTGTATTTTTAGTAGAGATGGGGTTTCGCCTCGTTGGCCAGGCCGGTCTCGAACTCTTGACCTCAGGCGATCCACCTGCTTCGGCCTTCCAAATTCCTGGGATTACAGATTTGAACCACCACGCCTGGCCTTAATTTCTTCCTAAAAGGCTGCCATCCTGCTGTAGGCCTTAAATTAAAAAAGCAAAAACAAAAAGGACACCAGTCCTACTGGGTTATAGCCCACCCTAACCTCCCATTAAAGACTCTGTCTCCAAATACAGCCATGTTCTGAGGTCCTGGGGGTTAAGATTTCAGCATAGAATCTGTGGGAGACACTGTTATACTTGAGTGAGTCAAGGAATGCACCACACTCTGAGATTGAATTATGAGTCCTTTATTTTAGTTGGCCACAGACAGGTGGCTAATGCCCAAAACTCTCTTGGCCCTGAAGAAAGAGTTGGGGGATTTTTTTATACCCTAGTTTGAAAAGGGAGGGGGGAACCTAGCTGAAGCAATTTTTTCACAGAAGCAGAGTAAGCAAAAAGTTAAAAGATAAACTAGTACATGAGAAATGAAACAGTGCCAGGCGCAAGGGCTAGAGCTGTCATAAAAAGACATACAACTTATAGATATGAGGGTTCTGGGTACTCGACAGCACCTGCAGTCCCAGGCTCTGCTGGGGCTGCTTTGCTCGGCCTGTTATCAGCAAATGCACTGCGGGATGCGTCCGCGGTTGTCCTGCCCCATCTGCATACTACAGTTGCATACTTAATGAGGGGAATAACTAAAATGAAGAAGCTAAGATGGAGTCTGTCCGGCTTAAGAAGCTAACACGAGGCCTGAACAGCTCTCAGCTAAGAGAGTCAGTGTAAGCTAACAAAAAGCAGGTTATCACAACACAGGGTAGCCCAGAACACATGTTGTGGGCAGGGTTAAGGGAATGAAGAAGGGGCCAGGCGCAGTGGCTCACACCTGTAATCCCGGCACTTTGGGAGGCTGAGGTGGGAGCACTAGAGCCCAGGAGTTTGAGACCAGCCCGGGCAACATAGTGAGATTCTTTTTCTAGAAAACAAAACCAAGGGCCGGGCGTGGTGGCTCACACCTGTAATCCCAGCACTTTGGGAGGCCAAGACAGGCAGATCACTTGAGGTCAGGAGTTCGAGACCAGCCTGGCCAACGTGGTGAAACCCTGTCTCTACTAAAAATACAAAAATTAGCTGGGTGTGGTGGCAAATGTCTGTAATCCCAGGTACTTGGGAGGCTCAGGCAGGAGAATTGCATGAACCCCAGGAGGCGGAGTTTGCAGTGAGCTGAGATTGTGTTCTCACATTCTGTTTCAAAAAGAAGAGAGAGAGAGAAAAGAAAACAAAACCAAACAAACAACAAAACCCCCCAAGGCCTAGCAGGCAGGGAAGAGGGAGAAGACCCCACGTCTCTCCCTTCCCAGCCCTCCTCACCTTCCGCAGCGCTTCGAAGTCTGCAGAGACCTCCAGGGTGCTGGCAGAGGGAGTGTAGCTTTCAGATGCCACCTTCCCAAGGCAGAGACAAGGCTGGCAAGGGTGGCCCATGGGTCTGGGTGAGGAGGGGGGGATAGGAGTGGGATGTGGAAAATGTGCAGCTCAGCGGAAGAAAAGCACACACTTCCAGGGGAAGTGCTGCATACTGCAGTATGCAGTATGTAGTATGTAGTATGCTCAAGCACACATTGCTGTGTTTGAGCAATGAATGGGAAAGGGCTTGGAGGAGTTATTAGAAAACAGAAAATGTCACTTAGGGGCAAGTATGTTACTCACACACTCTAAACTAAACCACCTCCTCGTGGAACCAATTCAGTGTCCTAGAAGCTGCCATTCTAGGATTTTTATTTATCTAGGTAAAGCAGAATGATAGAAAAACGAATGTTAGCTGGGTGTGGGGGCCCACACCTGTAATCCCAACACTTACGAGGCCAAGACCGGAAGATAGTTTGAGCCCAGGAGTTTGAGATCAGCCTGAGCAACATAGAGAGACCTTGAATCTACAAAAAAAACACAACGAACAATTAGCCAGAGGACATGTGCCTGTGGTCCCGGCTACTCAGGGTGCTGAGGGGGGAGGACAGCTTGGGCCCAGGAGCCCAAGGCTACAGTGAGCCGTGTCTCTGAGTTGAGACCCGGTGTTCCTCCCATGTGTTCCAAAAGAAGACTGCTATCAGGAAGGGGTTCTTGCTGGGTGGCCCCCAGGAGCAGGAGCCAGGGACAGACGGATAAGCTGGGATGGGCTGCAGGTCCGCACGTCTGACCCCATTTGCCCCTGCGCACTCCTTGATTATATCACAAGCCTGTTACATTGCAGGCAGATGTCTAAATGGGCCACACCAGAGTCTGTTCCCAGTCCCTTACAGAATAAGCCAGGATCCGTGGCAGCAAGGACCCATCAGGAGAAAGAAATCCTCCTCCAGTGCCAGAGGCCGCATATGGTCTTTTTTTTTTTTGAGGTAGGATCTCTCTCTGTGGCCCAGGCTGGAGTGCGATGGCGTCATCATAGCTCACTGCAGCCTCCACTTCGCAGGCTTCAAGCGGTCCTCCCACTTCAGCCTTCTGAGTAGCTGGGATTACAGGTGTGTGTCACCACGCCCAGCTAATTTTTAAAATTTTTGTAGAGATGGGGGTCTCCCTATGCTTTCCAGGCTGGTCTTGAATCCCTGGGCTCAAGCAATGTTTCCGTCTTGGCCCCCGAAGTGCTGGGATTTCAGGCGCGAGCGCCAGCCCTGCCTGTATATTGTCTGAAGCTGTATTTCGGTGATCTATTTCTGTGTAACAAACCACCCTGAATGCACTTGCTTGCAACATTCATTTCCACATGAACCTGCGGGTTGGGTGGGACTTTGTGGGGAGGGCTTGTCTCCCACCCACACGGTATCCTCTGGGTCCTCTCAACCGAGGGCTGTGGGATCCACGTCCGAGGAGACACAGGGACATGGCTGGAAAGTTGGCATGTGCCACCCATTGAGATCTCAGCCTGGGCTGAGGGCGGGGCCTCTTTTCCTCTCCATGTGGCCTGGGGTTCTCATGGCAGGGGGGCTGGGTTCTAAGAATGAGGGTCCCAAGAGAGAGCCAGATCAAATTGGAATCACCTTTGAGGTGCCAGCCCTGGAAGTCTCCTAGTGTCTCTTCCACCATCCCCAGCTGGCCAGAGGGGCTTGTCCAATTTCAGGCAGAGAGGACACAGACTTGGAGAACTGCAAGGTTCTAGAAGAACATGCGGGTTGGGAAATGGTCTTGTGATCATTTTGGAGTAGACTCTCTGCTTCAGGGTAGTTCCCTGGGCAACCTTTGCCATACATAGGAAACAGGCATGTGAAGGAGGCACGTCTCCCACATGTTCCTGGTAGGAACCAGGCGATGGTTGATACGCTGTGCTGATATTCATTCATTCAGCAAAACTTTATGAACGCCTACTGCACACCGGACTCCATGTGAGGCTCTGGGAATACAGGCATGAGAAAGAAACCGTTCCTGCCTTCAACGAGCTGATCATAGCGGCGAGGGACACAGAGCAGCTGGGCTGTGAGAGCTCACAGAAGGAAGGAGTGAGGCAGTCCACCGGGCATTGCAGACGTGACGTCGAAGCAGAAACACGGGATGGGGCAGGTGTAGTGATTCATGCCCGTCATCCCAGCACTTTGGGAGGCTGAGGCAGGTGGACCACTTGAGGTCAGGAGTTCGAGACCAGCCTGGCCAACATGGTGAAACTCCGACTCTACTAAAAGATACAAAATTTAGCCAGGTGTGGTGGCGCAGTCCTAGCTACTCAGGAGTCTGAGGCATGGGAATCTCTCGAACCCGAGAGGCAGAGGTTGCAATGAGCCGAGATTGCACCACTGTACCCCAGCCTGGGTGACAGAGCAAGACTCTGTCTCAAACAAACAAAACCAGGCACAGTGGCTTGTGCCTGTAATCCCAGCACTTTGGGAGGCTGAGGCGAGTGTATCACCTGAGGTCAGGAGTTCAAGAACAGCCTGACCAAAATGGAGAAAGCCCATCTCTACTAAAAATACAAAATTAGCCAGGCATGGTGGTACATGCCTGTAATTCCAGCTACTCGGGAGGCTGAGGCAGAAGAATCGCTGGAACCCAGGAGGCAGAGGTTGCAGTGAGC